TGGAAATAACTCACAGGAAAGAGATTTGGTCAAAAGAAACCTCAGGAAAATCGGGAGATTTATTGGAAGAATTTAATGGAGAATATTGGAGTGATTTTGTGGTTTATTAGTCAGAGGAGCTCTGCATGGTCCTCCTCGAGGCTGCTATTAATGGAAAGGGCATGATTTTATTACCGTCATAAAACTTTGAATTTTTTTTACATGTATTGGACATACGGGAATCTCTTCGAGTTTGCTTGAAGTAAGCGGGTGTAATCTGAAACTGCTGCACTATTTTTTGTTGGTTTTGTTGATTGTTTATATGTAATTTTGACCCAATTTTATCTTCGTATTTTACTCTGTCTTGATTGGCCCAAGGCTTTGATTCCTTCTTCAGAGTCACACTCCTAGAAAATTTGCACACCTGGAAATGTCCAGGAGTTGTTTTTTTTTGCACGCCTGCAATTTCCAAATTACAAGGACTGTGTAAACATGCATCCTTGCAATAAAAACAGTCTAGCTGTGTATGCTTGGACATACAAATTCACGAACATATCGGTATACTCATTTTATTCAAAACTTCAGTGTTGAACTCGGCAGTCTGCAGCTTATTGAAGAGCAGAAGCAAATTGCTTTCTGAGAGGCGGATTGCAAACATGTACATATAGGTTTATGGCTACAAAAGTGCATCAGTTGAGGATAGGCTGGCATATTGCTTTTATGATATTATCTTCTGATTAATATCTAAAACTAACTGGCAGGGTTAATATTTTGAAATGCTTTCCAGCTATGGTAATGCATGCTGTACAGGGTCTATGCAGAAACTGTTCATAAGACAGCTAGAGCTCAGGAGAACAATGTTCTCTGTTTAATGTTCACTGTTTAACAGTTTACTATCACAACTTAATAATTTGCAATCTTTGTGATAATATTTATATTGAAGCATGTTGCAACATACGCTGACAGTGTAAATGGCTTCTGTAGGCCTAACCTCTGTGATTGATAGTTGTACTTGCTCTGGTAAAAAGTCTACATGTATACATGTACATGTACATCTGAATAAATCCCTCAACTGTTACACAAGTCATGGGCTTGACCTGCATATCAGGGTCAAATCCTTAAAGAAATAACAACCACCTAGCTTGTGCACTTGCCACAGCAGGACAATTTATCATGTCATACTGCTGTAGGAAAGATGTTACCTACATACATGTACCTAGCTGTGGGCCTATGGTCCAGTTACTGTACTTCCTTGCACGTGAGCATTGGAGACATATCTGTGATGGTTGCATGGTGCCGAGTGTCTGTCGCAAGGGTTATGTGCGATTTCCTCACTACTACATGTAGCTTCTACACAGTACACTTTACGGTAGCATGATATCAAACATCTCTCGTTTTTGCTGCATTTACATTAGTATTGGTGGTGCTGAGATATTCTTTGAATGGTACATGTAGAATTATAATTTTCCCGCCATACATGCGCATACTCTTTTATGCAGGTTATGTATATTGATGCACAAATTTGGCAACAATGGAACATTATTTGCTTGTTGAAAGCTGCCCTAATTGCATGTACCATGGAGGCATGTGCAGCGTATGCACCTCAGTCTTCCAGATTTTACATTTAGTTTTATGGCAGTCTTAGCTGGCTGTTTTCTTTCATCAGTTTCATGAATAGATCTCTCTCATTGGATGCCATCTTTGTAGGAAAATTACAACTGCTTATACAACGCCAACAGGTGCGTGTGTTTGCCATGTGCAAATGTTCTTAACTCATGGGCATGTTGATCCGTACACCGTGGCTGATGCATGTCACGAAACTTTGAAGTCAAACATGCTGATACATGGTCTGTAGGAAATGACATCATTCAAGAGAGACCTACGGCAACATTACCAGCAGTTTATCACTGCCAGTTAGGTAGAGGGATCGCCTTGTTGCCCTTTATCCGCCAAAAGGAAGACTAGTACAAAGTTTACCGAGTGGGTTCTTGCACGCATTTGGTGTGCAAGCAAAGACCAGACATTCCAGAATAAATATGTTGCATGTACTCAGTGTGCTCTACGTCAAACGCGTATAAACTTGCGCACCTATGCGGTGAGTTTGTACCAAAGGGTCAATATCAGTTAAAAATACGGCCTCTTATTTTCCTGCTCGGAGCGGATAACATAGGGGATTCCCATTGTAACTTGAGTAGACTCAGTGGTCTACAAGATACTGTAAGCTTCAGTTTCATTAAAGTGAGGTGTTGAGTTCAATCCCTGGAAATGCTACAGAGAAAGTTTTTTTCAGATTAATGGAAAAGGGAAAGTCTAAACTTTGTGTGCATTTGTGGGACCAGAGGATATTTTTTGGTATGAGAAAGGAAGGTCTGGACTTCATAGGTCTGGTTCCCACCCCTGGAATATGAAAACACAATGCTAATAAATGCACTGAACCAGATGGCAACAAGGTTGTCACTGACGGGCAGTATATTTTCGTGAACCCAATGGCAACAGCCAAAGTGCGCATCCGTTACGGAGTACAACACACAGTTGTACGGAAATCGCATGCTTTATGTTCACATGACCAACCCCAGTGATAATCACGCGGAGTTTGCAATTGTGATGTGAAATTTTGGAGGAGTGCAGTCTCGATCCACACGACAAACATACAGGGACCTGTACAATTTAGTGACAGGGATGCGCTTTCTCACAACATGATGTTGCTGTGATGTTGATGCTCATGCAATTTCAGTGCATGAGAACTGTTTTCAACACGTGTAAAAGGGCCTTTGGATGGTTCTCTGGAGCTTCTCAAATATGAAATACAAACATTTGCACCCTCCACAAACATACCGATATGCACAAAGCTTTCAGATTGAATGTTTTCTGGACAGGAAAATGTGAAAAGTGCCTCTTCCAAAACCATTAAGCCTAAATTTTAAACAGTTTTCCCCTCATTATGTTGTTTGTCTTCACTTTAAACATACTGCATTGCCGACTTTTTAAAAGTTGAAATTCGTTTTTTAATTAGCCCCCAAAATATTAGTTGGAATGGATTTACCCTTGCAGTAATGTATACCCGATTAAAATGTTGTTGAGATCTGTGTATGTGTGAGGGGATAGTCTCACTTACATGTAGTTTCCTGATTTGTATACTTAAATATTCTTAACCGATGGGCATATTTCCTCTAAAACTGAAGGTCAGTCTTATAAATAAATTAAACCCCATTTAGCTGGTGACCTGAAAATACATGTACTTGTTGATGTTCTTGATGAAAATCTATTGATTGTTGAGTGCGAACATGAGTATGATAGTGTTCGGTCATGTATGTGTTTATGTTAGTTTCACAACTGACTTTGCAGAAGACAGATGGAATTCCTATCAGTTCAAACAAGGAATGCAGACAATCAAGGATGAGAGTCTGTGTTCATTGATGACCATTTAGCAAAACTATTATTACCACTGGCAGGTTTAAACATCCACACAGTGCCAGTACGTGAATCATTCCTTTTACAGCTTGCACCGTTTCAAAGCATTTTATGTTAAATGTTCACCTGCCGAGCAATACCGGGTACTTAGGTACCAATAGCTCAACACTTCAACAATAATGAATATGTGATGTACAGGGTATGCATGTGAAAGCATATGAACTCATGTACCAGCCACTCAAAGCTGACTTCAGAAATTCAGATGCAATCCTTAGGAAAAAGATGACAGCAAGGCTATGAACAGGTAAGTAGCTGTCTGGTGAATAAATAAACAAAATGGTCTCCATGAAATGATTGTTTCTGTAAGATTTTTCAGCCCTTCTCACCTCCCTGAACGTGTCAGTTTAAAGCACTAAATGAGGTGCGGGAAAACTGTTTAAAATAAAGGACAAGAGGCTGTGGCTGAAGCAATTGCTATACTGCCAGCCGCTCTGTATGAAGACTTGGGTGTGCCTGATTGTCTTCTAGTAATTGCATGACAAACCAAAGGCAAATATAGATGCCAGCAAATCGCTGCAACAACACGCACAGATTTGATTCTCTCCAATTAGGTCGACCATCAAATCTAGGAGTAGGTAGCTACATGAACATGTAATTTGGTTTCTAGCGCTATCTTGAATGTCAAGGTGTATTGCAGAAAGGAGAGAGGATTGGCCAGTCTGTTTGCCTCACACTTGATTGCCCTTGGTTGGAATTATGTCGCTAGATGCAGAGTTGCATTAAAGTAATTAAATACATGTCTGCTGTGTCTCACTCCATTTCTCCAGTACCTACCTATATTTGGTGCACATCTATCCCAAGACTAGCTTACACAAAAGTTTCCAGTGTATTCTCATTTTGATAGAAGTCCTCAGTGGGCGTATAGGTATAGATAATGAACTAACTGTTCTGTTCAGAGGTAAATATTGACCCTGGAATGATATCATCCATGTATTCCCGTACCCAGTAGGCATTACCTGAACCTCTGTTGCTAAAAGTTCTTTGAATTCTCTAGTGGATGCCGAATTGTAATGCATTTTATAAAATGTCTTGCAGTTTTTTATATGTTTGTCTTGTGATGCCACAGTTTCCAATCACTGCCACTTAACGTTGTTGTGCACTAAATTCAAGTTGGTAAATCACAAGAAAATTCAAGGTCTGCTAAATACTGAGCTGACTGTTGTGATGTTGTCTTGGCTTTTTTCTTTAATATCTCGAGGATGCATGTACACCCATCAGCGTTTCCAGGGAGGGTGAACACTTTCTGCATTGGATCACCAAACGTTACAGAGATTTAGAAAGATAAAGCATTTCATGATATGATATAACTAAGGGTAGCACTTTCTACCGTGTTACAAATTATGAACCAAGCATTTTTGCCTCTCCACCCATTTGAACATATTAACCAGCTTGCTGACTCTGTTGATCATCTACAACACCTGCAAGGAGTACAGTACCATAAAAGTGGCTGTCCCGAATGCTGTCTCAGTTTCACGCTTGTGGAAACAATATGTAACTTGGATGTTTTCTTTTTCTCTTTTGTTTGTTTTCCCCCCTGTCTGGCTGTCTAGGTCTTCAGAAACTATCTGACATTTTGCGGTATCGGCATCATGAATGCCCAGCTGTTTGAGATGTCTGTCAACGAGTACAAACGCAATCAGGTAATGCATGCATTTATCGTCGCAACACTGTCAACAGCACTGGAATCCATTTCATTTGTATGAACTTTATGTGCACGGGAACCATATTGCAATCCTGAAGCCCTTGTGTGATTTTTTTTCAGATGTCGTGAAAAGGTAGACGTATATATGTTTTCCCACAAGTTGAAGACTGTTCAAAATTAATTTCAAGTCAGATCTGTTTCTTTTTTATTATTTGTGTACATATGTATATTCATAATAATTTGAAACATTCAATATTTAAAGCCTTCCTGGATTTCCGTGTAGAATGTACATGTATGTGCACTTCCGAGGTATATGCCAATGGTACACTGACAAATAGTCTAATGAGTAGTCTTGACAAAGATCATTCAAAGTTACATTGCTAATTGTGCATGTTGAAAGGACAAGAAACTTTGAAGGGCTGTTTAAATTAGGCCTGTGCCGGGTACCCGGGTACCCGCCCGTCGATTTCAAAACCCGGTTCCATTTTTCCGCGCCGGGTACCCGTAAAAAAGTAAATAAATTAGGAACAAACATTCATGCATAAAATGTCTGTGAAATTTTTTACTGAAGGACAGACTCCATGGAAAACCACCGTGCCGATGAAAACCCGGTCCCGCGGTCATACATGAAACTTGAATTCGGAGATCGACAGCTAATTTTGTTACCCACTCCGCCCATTGTACCGCAAGTCGTTTTCCTAGTTCCGGAATTTCCCAGTTCACAAGAGCGAAAAAAACACTAAAATTCACGGGCGACAGGTCACTCGCTATGTGTGATTTTAAATCTTTCTTTAAATTGAATAGTCATATAAACCTTTGCATCTAATGTCTGCTTAATCAAAATGACTTTTTTAGAGTTTCCGTTTTTGTAATTTACCGAAAACTGCAAGCTTTTCCCCCACTCTCGGATCGCGCGGCGTTACCACGCAAAGTCGTTGCGAACTCAACTACACGGACGCAGCAGAAATGTATGTGACGTAATGGGTTCGTCAACTGTGCGGCGCGGGGAGGATAACNTGGCTTTGGCTGAAAATGGATTTTTCGTGTGGTTACTTTTTATTTGTGAAGACGTATAAAACCGATCCAGAACTAGGAAAGGTGTCATCATCACTTTCGTCGATCGATTCTGTGAGTCCAAACATAAAAGCTTAGATTTTGAAAAAAAAATATAAGTATATCCAAAACACAAAGTTGACTTCTGACCATATTTCACTCGAATTTGAGGATTTTTTAGCTGCAGTCTTACTGAATAATTTTCGCGATCCGGAACTAGGAATTTTCCAAAATCTGTTCCAAATCTATATGAACAAGAGACCGAAGGAGTTTTGTCATATGAGGGGGAAGCGCTGTTGATGTACACTTGCATGACCGTATTTGTAATTATCAAACCCTGTCGGCCTAAATGACTTTTGTGCGGAATAACTAGTGCTTACTGTTTGAATTGAGAGGATTTTTGTCAAATAAAGCTATATGAATGGAAATAACTTTATGTCGGGATTGACGACGAAGCGAGAGCGGACTGTGTAATATTCCTGCGGTACTGGGACTCCACACGGCGTGCGGTGAGTAGTGATCACGCACAAATTGTGCGGTTGATCGGCCTCTTTTTATAATCAAAGCACTAAATGTGCGCTACAAACCCAAAGCGTTAGAGAACCAGTTTAGTTAAGTTTTATACCAAGAAATATTCCGTTTCAAAATTATGAACTGTAGATGAGGAATTGACCAAAAAAAAAAAAAAAAAAAAACAGGAATGATGTTTTCTGTATGTACTAAAGCATTTCAAATCCAAGTATTTTTTCATTCTAAAAAAAAGGAAATGTTGACAGGTGCAAGTCATAATACAGTCGGCCAATCAAATATCACTTGTCGAAGTACTTATACATTAAAATCTTGACAATTTGAACCACAGGGGAATGGAGTTATCCTGAAAAAGTATTTAGAAAACTAAACCACTTCATCGTGGTACGTACTTTCGTATCGCTTAGTCATTTAACAACGTGAAGCGCTGCTATTTTTTTCACTTGGGCTTCCTTATGTGTGGTCACATGACCTTTCTTTTTACGGTCGCATGGCTGCTGCAGCGTCGGCGATTGGACTGCCTGAAGGGGACTACAATTGGGCCCGCGTTGCAATCAGGTTAGTTTCAGCGTCTTGAAAGCCAGGATTACACAGTTGCAGCTACGTTGATTCATGCTACGTGCTGGTCCTCGTCAGAAAAGAAATAAACTTGCGATGACTCCTGACCCTATATAGACTTCCGATACTTTCAACGCCGTTCGAAGCATTTTGGTGGCGGTTTTTTTTAATCAGAAACTTCAAAATAAGTGGATGTAATGGTGTGGGCATTGTTTGAGTTACGGTGGTATTTTTGTACATAAAACTTCAAGCCTTTTAACCCGTGACGTACATAGCGCTGATCTGGTCCGCACATGACACGACCAGCGCTCACCATTTGTGCACGCCACCCGCGTTCCGCGTGTGGTCATGCAGCATCCGGGACATTTCCTTTGAGCGTTTGCAGGTGCGTGTATCATGTAGGTGGTTTGCAGCTCTGTTCTTTTTTCTGACGTTTCCCGTGAAGATTTGTTTTTCTGTTTCATACACCCACAAAAAATTGCAAACTGAAGGTAAAAATTTCGTTTGATAAAAAGGTAGGAGAGATTAACTCCGACGTTTAGAACAATGTTCTGCTTGCTTCCAATGTACCAAAAAGAACCGTGTTTCGGGCACATGATCCACCGGGTTGCGCGCAAGGCCATTTGTTATTAGGCGATCTCTTTTCCGGGTACCCGATGTTAACCAAAAACGGGTACCCGGTTCTAAAAATACCCGCAAATGCACACCCCTAGTTTAAATGTACTGCTTCATGTACAGGTACATGTACCTTCCCTGCCTTATAGTGTACATGTAGGTGATGACAGTGTGGAAATTGGTGAGCAAATGGTAGGTGTTGACTATTTTTGTTCACCACTGAAATGGATTCACTTCTGAATATAATAGGTGCATTAAAATGAAAACATCACAATTAAATTTCATTGAAAATTTAGCGTAATGTTCAATTCTTCATGGCTAAAGAAAGGTGTGTTTGCCTTGATACATCTCTGAGTGGAATATCACCAAAAATAAAGGGAAACACTGGCATAAAAGAGTAGGAGTTTCTCGTCAATACAGATGATGCGTTGCTTGGCAACGACATGCACTGGTGCGACATGTTTGCTCTTAGTGGGCCATGGGAGGGAGGGAAGAGTGGGATTCTGTTCCGCTCAATGAGGTGCTTCAGTGTCTTCAAATTCCCCTGTGGAAGCACTTCTATCAATGTAAAAATGGCGCTGGAGTTTGAAGAGCTGAAGAAACAGACCTCCCCCCCCGCCCTTTTGTGTTATTCAGCAGGACAGTAGTGTCAGACGTGTGAGACATTGAGAACCCTTAAATTCCCTAACTGCTGACGCTTTTTGAGCGGTCATTGTGGCTCAGTAGATTTTGAGCTGGGAGCGGAGGTGCCTTAAAAGCTTTCTGCAAGACAATTTGCCAATGATGTATGTCTAGAGAAAGATCAAGGCCTTGGGCATTACAAAGACATGTTTTCCAATGGGGAAAAAGACAGGAAGGGATATCAATTGACACTGTTGTGACGTCTTCAGAAATGGGAGGCATTCAAAATGTGATACTTATCATAATGGAGGGTCTCGTGCCCATGATGATGCAGTGATTGCAACCATTTATTTTTATTTAAAGCTTGTCATTTTTTCAATTTTCTTCTTATTTTGTGATGGAAGAAGTCTGGAAAAATAAAAGTGAACATCACAAAGTGTTTGGCCATTAAATGCAGTCATAGTGCAGAAATTGAATCTTGAATTCTTTCAGGGAAACATTCAACATCCAGTTGTACGTGTTGTTGCCTTAGTAAAATTCTTGCCTAAGATTTGATATGTTGTTGCCATTAGTTGTTGTCTACATGGGAGTGAATGTTTTAAAATGCCATGTATTGCACATGCAGGTACCAATTTGATTTTGTTCTTTCCAAAAGCAATGTACGACTCTTCAAATAAAAACTCGCCTTCAATTCTCATTAGGCTTTCCTACATCAGCAGTTTAAGTCCTTCTGTCTCCGGAAAACTGGCGCTTTTTAGAGAAGTCTGTTTCTTAAATAATTTGTTTCAATTCTTCGACACCAGCTCTAGTGTTGTACAGTCAGAGTTCACCGAACAAATACATGTTCTTGCTGAAGAAATATTGTCAATTAGAACACTGCACGCTTTCCTCAACCTGTACCCTCATAACAAGCCATTGGCACTGACCGTGGTATGATGTGTCCCTATTGCAGATGCTACTGCAGCTGGCCCGTGGCATCTTTGAGGAACAGACATCCCTGGAGAGTGTTGTCCACAAGATTATGAAGGAGGCCATCACACTGCTCAAGTGCGAGCGTTGCTTGGTGTTTCTCCTGGAGGATCACGACAAATCGGTAAGAGGGAAAAAGGGGTAGGGGGAAAAGAGAGGGCTCTCACGGGAGGGGCTGTGGGTCACTGTGATTTTACGTGTTAGCAAGGAGTGAGAATTGGGGAGGGCTGTGTGGAAGACGGAAGAGACAAATTGGCGGATGTTTGGGAGGCTGAAATGCAAGGATGATGATGGTGAAGAAGGTAGCAAGGAGAAAGATAGTGGCTGTGATGAAGACAGCGGGTGAGGTTATAATAGTGATAGTGCCTCTGAAAGTGGTGATACTAATGAAATTGGTGAAAGCGGTAATAGTATGCTGATGAGAAAGGGGATGGTACCAGTGGTAAATACGTGTACAGTGGTGAAATTGGCAGTGACATTGATTATATATTGATCAATATCATATCAGTGGTGTAATAAATATCCTTTCAGTGATGTAATCACAATCATGATCTTAGTACCTGTAGCACAGTAATAATGAAGACAGTGATCAGTGTGATAACACTTGTAATTTTTAGGTTGACTTGATGAATACTCTCAATTTAATAGAAATACCCCTAAACCATTGATGTGCATCATCTATGTAAAATTGTACACAGTGCTCCATGGGCTGCTCTCTCCCGCATGAGAATTGAACAGTCCCGGGGCCCCCTTCCAAAAAAACATTTTAAAAAAAGAAGTCTGAAAATAAACCTCAACAAGGCTCTAACCTACCGGGTACATGTACTTCACTTGAAAGCAAGAAACAGTAAGGAAAAAAATGAATAAATATACAATTATATTTCCAAACAGTTTGAGTGTATGTACTAAAAGAACCCACCACAGCCAGAGAAGACCAAAGATGATCCAGTAGTATCTTGAGTTGCTATGACGTGATGTTATCGGGAACAGTGACCTGAATTGTAAATTGCAGTTTGGTATGTCCCTGTGTCCCTGTATGTCCCATTAGTGACCTGGAACTGCCCATTTGATGTTTACGGACATATCACATTTGATGAAAGAAATTGACTTCAAGGCCTTCTGGCTGGCAAAGATCTTGAATCAGTTACTACTGAGCATGCCTTCCTAAGCAAGATCATATTGTAACCACAATCCTTTTAATAAAGCGAGAGAGAGAGTGTGTGAAAAAAAGAAATGTCAGGGGTAATCACAAATGAAGAACAGCAAAGGAGGATGAAGGGGAGAAGAGCATCAAAATGGGGGACAGGGTAAACAGACAAGGGAGCTGGAAGACTGTTGGTTATTATGATGATAAGGCGCCAAGAGACAGGGGGTTTGAGCTGGGGATGAACGGGGGTGGCCAGTGATGAAACACTGATGAATGGAGGGGAGGTTTAATAGTGAAGAGGATGCAGGGGAAAAAGGGAAGGAGGCAGAAGGAGATGAGGATCATTTGGGCTGAGATGATGACTGAAGTCCCCAGATGCAGCCACAGGAATACTAGGATTTTTATTAATCTTTTTCCTGCTGCCGATTATGCTGTTGGCAGAGTGCTTGGTAATTGTTTGGGGCATGGGAGGGTGTGCTGGCAATGGTGCTGAATTAAATGTTGTTGCCTGATCTGTAGATCTGTAGTGCAATGTTACTTCAGGTCTGGTAGGATATTACTTCCCCCAGGTATTAAAAACTGACAAGGACTGGCCGTCACAGCAAGTATTCAACACTGGAGAACTGGCTGTAACCTCCTAACCTAATTGTCTGAGATTCATGTCCATGCGCATGTGATGACTTTGAACAGGCTTGCTTGAAGTGTCAAGAATCTTGATGTCAGCAGAAGATGAAAAAAGACAGGCTTTTAATATGATCAGTGCAGATGTGGTCCCTTTTATTGCAGCTGGTCTTATGCATCATGCACTGTTTGCTTTTCTTCTATTTAAATGCATGCACACATAGGGTTGATAATTTTTATGTAAGTACATGTAGCTTAGGATTTGTCATCTACATTTAATTCTGATATGCCGGACCCCCCAAAAGATATAACACCATTGAATTCAGGCTTTTTTTTTAAAACAAATCAGCCTGTCTTCTTGACAGGCAGAATGTAATACCAGATGGGCATTCTATAAAAAAAGTTAAAAGTGACAGGCAAAGTTGTTTTGGTTGGAGTAGTCCGCATCAAGTGATGAATGTCTTGTGAAATGTTCACATTTGTGCTGCATCTCAGATTTCATCCTTAACTGTTGGTTGCACCCTTCCCCCACAAATTGAAAGAAATTACTCTCTTGCAAACCAGTAAACACTAACAAGCTGTGCGAAATCAGTGCTCAGCCAGTGGAACTGCGATAAAGGGGGAGGGGTGCAAGATGAGCTGCAAGCCTGCTGTGTTCTTTGTAGCTTGTCTTGCGCAGCCTTTGTGAAACAGGATTGGAATTGTACTGTCGGCAGGTTGCTCACATCTCATTGCAAGATCATTCAGCAGAAGAGAAGCATTGCTCTTTATCTCATGAAAGATCAAGTGGAAACATCTTAAATTGTCACGTACACGTGCCCCCTCATGAAATTAGAGAAACTTCAAATTTGACAGTACATCATGTCTAATACACAATTGCATGTAACTTCCATGAACCCCAAGTGAAACAAGGGGCTTTCAGTAGTCTTCACAGAAGGAAGTCAGCTTATTGACCTCATTCAGTTATTCCCCCTCAGCTATGATTTGGCAAAATTGTGACGCCCAGTTTTGTTATGGTGTGAAGAATGATGGGCATGGGATCTGATAAGCAGTAGGCTACCTTTCTCAGCAATGCATGCTACTGTCAGTTTTTGTGGGCCAGGCCAAAATGGGTACTCATGGAGAAGGCAGGTGGCAGAATGGGCCTTTTTTGGTGAAATCTTAGATGGAACCAGGCTTTGAATGTTTAAAACAGACCACATCAGATCACTTTTCATGTCAGAGCTTCGCTTCAAGTTGGCAACTGAGCATGCAATTCTGTTGAATAGGTATCAGATACATGTATGTAGGGATGGGAAAACCAGCGATATAGAGGGTTAAATGCCAGTTTCATTGTGTGTCTCAGTCACAAACTAGTCATCAGTTTTGTGTTGTTGTCTGAGATGGTTGCATCATGCAGACTCCAGAAGTTAATTGAAATCAACGGACTACTGTAACTCAATTTTCCAAGCAAGTTGCTTGATTGTCAGGGCCTGTTAGATAATTCAAGATCCAGGTTTCTGGTCAATTTGTAGATTGATGGATTCTTGGATCTCAGTCATTTTTCATTCCAGTTGTCATGGCAGTTGGACTTGAGTGAATTTACTGGGAAAGAATATAAATGACATCACATAGGCCTGTGCATTTCAAATGCACCTGTACATGTTGGTGCTGGATTAAATGATAAATAATTCATGTTACCTTGCATGCAAGTATAATTGGAAACAGTCGGTCGTACGTGACAGAAAGAATGATTTGTTTCTAAAGGTTATGGAGCTGTTTCATGCAGAGCAGAATTACACTCAAGAAGATTGGATGCTTTTGATGAAAACTGGGTCTTTTTGAAAATCCAGTGTTTTTGAAAATTGAATGGTTCATTGATTGAATGCATTTTAATGTTGAAGGCTTTTTTTAAAGTATCCAGCTTGAGAAAAATATAGTTTGAGATTTGATGCTTTTTAAGATTGGATGTTTTTATCATTCGAATGCATTTATTACTTGACATAAACAGCTGCAGCTCCTCCAACATCTCATTTCATTTAAATTTAGTAGAAGTCATCCAAATTTAAAACCAGTAGAATTAGTTTAATTGTTTGTCCTGTTACACTCAAACTTTTCTTTGGCTTTGGAGGTTGTTCCCATGGTGAAGGTGCTGTCATATTCTAGACTGGTTCCCACACGCAGCAGGCGCAAATTTTTGTTGATGATCCTTGATACAAGTACAACCCTGAAACGACTGAAGGAAGGTCGAGTTACCCTTCCACCTGGGACTGCAGGCGATTATTGCAGGCAGTTGTGATAATCAGGAGGTTCAGTATGGAAGCAATAAGAAACAGACACTTGGTGGGTTATTCAGCGTTTGCATAACCCAAAGATGATTCACAGAGTCAACCTTGTCCCCACTGGAGAGAGCAGGTAGCTGTTTGGGGTGCACTGCTCAAAGTTATGGGGACGAGGAATCATGGGATGGAATGGTATTAGCATTATTTTTTTGTAGACCGGCCTTTATCAATGTTTGCTCCATTGAAGTGGTTTTAAGTTCATACATGTACCTTGAAGGAAAGGAAAATTATCAACCCCAAATGGTAAAAGCTATTGAAAAGCCAATGGACATATTTCTAGTGCTGTTTCCACATCATGAGCCTAGCGCTAGATATTTCTTGCTAAGCCTAAGCTTTCTTAAAATACATTAAACCTACTAAGTCATTGGTTCTGGTTCTCAATGCCTCGATGTCTTACCTCCTCCTTATCATCGATTGATAGATTGTTAGATGTCACATGTATGCATAGCTGATAAACCTGTTATAGCGCTTATGTGCATCAATGATATACATACTAGGATATACAGTACATGTAGATTAATTGCTTTGTGTCTGTTTACAGAGAAAGCACAGGGACTAACCTATCTTTCATGGCCTGTTTATTTGAAGCACTTAAATCTTCCATTTGAGCTGGTAGGAGGATGTTACTTATTCTAAAAAGTATCCTTGGTCAGCCCATTGCTGCATCATTGTACAGGCTTGCAGCCTTCACATTTGTTTCTTCCTAGTGATCACAACGTTTAACATGAGTTGGAAAGTTTTTTTCCAAAATACTGCAGTCATTTTCAAGTCTCAGGGAAAGAAAAGGTTTACACACCAGTGTTTTCTGAACTGTAGACAAGGGCATAAAACCTTCTTGCCTCTAGAAATTTGTTGGCACCATTACATAATCTTGCATCTTCTGAAAGGAAGTCAAAGTGGTTTCTGTCAGTCAATCAACCACACAGGCACTCGTACAGAAACAAACAAAAAACAGAAGTCCCAAAAAAAGGAAACCGAATTGTAACAAACATGATCAATCATGTAACAATGGCTCATTAAAAGTTTCTGCTGTCACTTTTGGCAGAAAGTTACAGTAAGCACAATGTTAAGGAAGTAGGGATGCCAATTCTCTCTGTGTTCTGCTCAGACTTAATTTGGTAATTCTTCCTCTGAGTTGTGGTAGTTTGACCAGAAAAGTCCAATGGGAACATGGCTTAAGTTCTCTGTGATCCAACCTTTTAAGTGCTTTAAACCAAGTAAACCATTTGGATTGCTCTTTGAATGTTCTGCCACTTTAGTGGTTTACACTTAAATGGGCCTGTTTACATTTGAGATAACTGTTCACAGCTTAAGGCTCAAGAGGACTTTACAGGTTATAGCTTACAGCCTCAGTAACTGTTTACAGTTAGCCTTTCAGCCTTAATCATGGCATTGAGATAACTGAGGCAGATCATTGTGCAGTGTCCAAGGATTAGAAGTGCAGTGCAGTACAGGGCAGGCTTGCTGGTTACCACTGCATTGATTGTCAATTGACACAGGGGATTACGTTAGGCTCAGAGCAGTAGCAAAGTTTACTGGGCCAAGTTTCAGTGCCAAGAAACTTTTATTCAGAAACTACTACTTCAAACCCCCCCCCAAAAAAAAGAAAAATTTGACTGAAATGACTTGAATTGTCTGAGAACTAGCAGAGCTCCTTGAATATTTTCTGCTTGTCTTCTCAGGACACATTGCATGCTGATAAAATTTGCATGGGTACAGTAGCAAAAGCTGTATTTAACCATTTTCTGTGGACATGTACGTTCAAATGTTTTCAAGGAGTTTAACTTAAGTACAAAGATTATCGGTTTAAATATTCCATACTGATCTACATGTATATGTACATGTACAAGGAATGCACACTCCTTAAATTGAAAATTGAAATTGAAAATTGAAATTCTCCGAAATAGCCGCTCTCAGTTTTTCAATCATATTGAGATCAGACTTTTAAATCAGTGTATGGTAAATTTAGGTGGCAGAGAGGCTAGTCATTTTTTCCCAACAAAATCCATTTTTATGTTCTGCAAATATAAATGCATGCATCTCAGGAGCAAACATGCTTACTGAGTCTACATGTGATTGGAATATGTTACAGAATTACAGAAATTGATAAAATGTGGCATCCGATGACTGCATTCTATTTCAGCGCCTAAGGCAATTGATATCATGCACTGTTTTATTCATCTCAGTTTGGCCTTCATGTGTTGATAAAGGGGATAATTTTGTAGACGGTGTGCTTTTGTTAATCGAGGTAGATGCCATACATTTGGGGAAATTTGTTTGTGTGTTTTTGTTATTTCAACATGGCAAATCAGTTCTTTGTGTCTTCAGAATAAGCTTGTCACAGTTTGTGTGTTATGCTCTCACCTAGGATTTCCACACCTGTGACAGAGTGCTTTGTCTTGCTTTAACTCCAGGGGTTAGTAATGTTCTTGGTGCAGTGATTTGAGAGTTGTGTTGGTGCACTGAGTACAGTACATGTAAGCTATCAAGATATTTTGTCTTCCCAGTGCTTACAGCGCCATGTTCATGCACACGTATGTATGTTTCTGGTGTGATGTGTGACTTTAATACTCTACAAAAAGAGTTTTAACTTGTGCACATGACATGCTGTTTGATGATTCGATCAACTTTTATTAAGTAAACGGTTGCGGTTGCTCCATTATTAGATTCCACTTGACTTAGATGATCAGAGTACCCAAGTGCTTGTCCATTTCCACATCGTTAATGTGATTAGGCAGTAACAATATCTCTTACCTGTGAAGCCCACTTTTTGAATACTGTAGGCCTATTTATTTATAGGATTCGGTCTTTATCTGTTTGAAGCAACAAAGCTGTGAATGTGCTAGTGTTGAGCTGTATGGTGCACACTATTAGCAAACTCTTTCAACAGCATACATCTGCTGATATGTTAATGACTCAGCTCACAGTTTGGAAACCACCTGAGATCAACCCAATGTGTGTTTTGTAGGAGTGAAGGCTAATATGTAGTAGCTGAATGCTAAGATGATGCGTGTGTGGGTGTGTGTGTGCGCTGTAGACAGTGTTGACTGAGAATCAACATTCATGTACAAGGAAAAAATGCTGAGTTTATATGGCCTTCTCATATGTTGTTGTGATGATATTCACAGTGTCGTAGGCTGTCATTTGAATGAGCACATGCACCATGCACCATGCACCATGCCACTGTTGCACTGCCATTTTTATAGCAGCCAAACCACCATCACCAGTCATCACTTGTACATACATGTACATGTAAACTGTGATTTAAGAAAAGAAAAACCATCCCAAACTGTCAGTGGTGGAGGAAAGAGAAATGTAAGGTTTGCCAGGAAAAGTCAAGACACACATCCTGTCTACCGGTATTTTGCAAAATTTGTTGAAGAAACCAACAATGGCTGCTGTTGGCATGCCACCTTGGTAAAGTGTTTTGGGCATTACTCTAAAAACAAGTACACTTGTACAGTTTTTACCTTTGACAAATTTGGAGTGGTTTTTGTCTTCTCTCCGTCATTTCCATGATCAAGTCACAACATTTCTTTTTGTCCTTGTATCTCTACATTCTTCCCTTTTAATGCAGCTGTCAGATTATACTAGAGATGACTGTCAAGGCTCAATGCACCTTTCATTCTTGAGCCATGATTTTTTTCCATGTCTTGGTAATACTCTTTTCTGTGCAAGATAGAGAAAATACATGTAAAACACACAAAGTAAAAAGCTCAAGCACACTTTCTGAAAATCACGCAGATCATATCTTACAAAACGGCACACTTTCCTTGAAGAGGTTCAATCTAGATCAAATTCATATCTTGCCCATTTCATACATGCACAGTTACATTCAACTTGATCAGTGCACCTTCTTCCATCTCTTCTTTTTTTCCCCATCTTGTTCTTGTATCCACCCTTTCTTTCCCAATTTCTGTCTCTGGTGATGTGTCCACTGTTGTTTGTCCCTGTGTCCCCATCCCCCATGGACTCACATGTTTGGTGTGCAAACTATCCTTTAAAATACCACATGCTGTTTGTCTGCACTTGTGTTTTTTCCCTGTTTGTGATGCCAATGCCACTCTGGATGTACCCTTGCATTCTGTTCTCTTCTTTCTCATCACCTCTTGATCAATGATGCCTACATTCACCAAACCAAATATTCTGCCAAAATTGTCTTGTTGGCACTTGTTGATTCTTTCCCCACTTCTTGCAATCCTGGTTATCCTCTGTCTGTGTTCATCTCTATCTGTGTCACTGTTGGTCGCCGTTTGTTCTGCATTGGTACTCTGTCTTGTCCATACAAAATGCATGTTCGTCTTTTTTGTATTTGTATCCTGAAAACTGTTTTGGCCTGTTTGCATGTGCTTTCTCCCCCTTGGTCAATGTTTGTGGCCCTTTGTCATGTGCCACCATTTTCCTGTATGTGTGGCATTACCCGTGTCGTGGGCCTCCTTCTGTCTGTCCATTTGTCTTTCTACTGTCCCCACCCATGTTTGCCCTGTGTCCTGTGCTCCGCCATTCTTGTTTGCACCTGTATGTGTACTGGTGGTACCCCTGCTGCCCCTGCCTTCCCTCCTGTTTCTGTCTGTGTCTTAATTCCCTTTTTCTCCCTGTGCATGCATCACTCCCATCCCGCTTGTTTGTCTCTGTGTATTTCACTGCACTCTCTTTGATGTGCAGGCCTTTCTGAGTCAGCTCAGAGAATCGCAGGGTCAGCAGAAGGCACTGGAATCACCGGTCGCTGTCAAAAGCAACGCCGATTTGGACCTGACCAAGGTAACGTATTCACCGCTTTCAAGTCTGGAGACTTCCTCCCTCATACCTCTTTGATAGAATGATCCCTGTGTTTCAAACAGGTCAACACTAAATCAACCCAGTCCTAGTTACAACCAATGAAATGTTTTAGCATCACTTCAAGTATTTATGTTATCATTTTGCAAAAGTTGAATACATTTCGACTCTACTGAATTTTACAATGAATTTTTGTAGATGTGGGATTCATATTGCATAAGCATCAGCTTGGAGCGTGAAAACATTATGTCTGTTATTTACAATCAAACCAAAAAATGAACTGAAGCATTATTGTTATGATGTGGCAGCCTTGGAAAATTAAGGCATCTGCTTAGATTTAGTGCCTTGGTTCCAAGTTTACTGTGAGTACGTTGATGTAGAAATTCACCCTCCCCAGAAGTATCCCTTTCACTCTCAAACAGAAAGGACGGAAAAAGAGATAGATGAAATTATTAAAGCACATTGGAATTTCCAGGCTTGAAACTGTTCTTCACCTTTTTAAATTTTGAGTTTCATTGTCACTGTCATCTATTCTAGATTTCATTACTCTCTGGTGACGCATTATGCTTGCTTTGGTGCCTTCAATTTTCTTTGTGCCGTTGATATTCATTTCATTATTCATGATTGTTTCATTTGCATGTAGGCAAGCATTGCTAAGCAACCAGTGCATGTGATTTTTCTTCTGTTTTGTCTTTATTTTAAGTAAAGAATGAATATGATGGAAGGTTTCTTGTGAGTGGTATGTATTACTACTAACCTGCATGAATAATTCAACATATTGGTATAATGGTACACACTTTTAAAAGAAATTTCCTACCTTGTCAGAAATTGGTTTCTTATTTGCTTCATTTTCACACCCTAGTGCAGTATTTTGTTGACTGTTAAGTCAAAGTTGATTTTTCAATAAACACATGTCTGTTCGTGCAAAAGAAGTTAATTTTTTCTGTTTGAAATAGTTAGTTACCCTTTCTGTAATCAACAAATTGTGAATTCTTTTGGCATTTATGTGTAATGTACATGTTCTTTCAATGTATGTAACTACTGCCCACATAAATTCATGTTTTTGTGTGAGAGTACGAGAATCAGATACTCAATGGAGAAGGAGAGTTTTGATATCAGAGAGATTGAGATGGTTTAAATATGGTTGTCATTCCACGTGTATATATATCTAATTTTGCTTTCTCTGTCCTCTGCTGGACATGTTTCACCATAAGAAGGTCTAAATGAAGAGGACACGTCATCTGTGACGAAAAATAATTCACTTCACACCCATTAATTGTCACACTTATCGCACTCCTCAGACGGCTACCAAAAGTCTTTTTCTCTCCTCGGATCAGTGTCATCTCATGCCATCATCCATTTTCTCCTTCCTTTTTTTTTCTCAATTCAAAAGACTGGCGTTTTGTTGTTAGAATCTTTCAAAGTTTGAGGTCATGACGACGAGGACAGGTTACCAGATTGGAAGGCTGCAAAAACCTGTTTTGAAACCAGGGTTGGTTTGTTGATATTTGCAGTGCACCCATTTCTAATTATTAATATGTACCTATATATGTATTCATGTGTTTTTTGCTGTTGGCTTGAAAATAATTTTGATTGAACTACATGTATTTAATTATATGGTGCTTTGGGTGCATGGTGATTTTCCTGCTTTTTGTTTTCGTGGTCAAACTTATGTAGGATTTACTAATATCTGGCTTCTCTTTATGGTGTGAAGTAACATTTTATTTCAACATTCTTTGCAGCTTCATCTTTCTGGGTTTACTTGAATGTCAGGTTCTGTGCCATGTTGATATTTTACTCTTAGCATAAATACATTTTTCCTCATGTGGATGTTTGGTCTCTTTGAAATCCATTCTTTAGTGTATTCACTTTTGCCCGCAAAAGTATTTCATGATTCACGAAATGCAGACACACAGTTTGACCCTGCACAAGATGGGGATATGGTTGCCTAACGTGAACCTGCATCTTGACTGGTTTGCGCCTCGCATGACTGTGGAAAATTAATTAAATTACTTGGGCCATCTTGCCGGGAGTGCCAAATAAATGGCTTGTCAGCACTGGAGCTGTAATCCCAGCTTCCTGAAGCCCCCCTCTCTCATCTCAAAGACATGAAGCATCCTCAAATCCGACCTTGTCTGCTGCGTCTGCTTTCAACACAGAGCTCAGTACAGGCAGGCACTGGACATACAGCCAAAAATTTACATTTTGAGTGTATGTTTACAAAATACAAAATCTTATCATTTGTGTGTGAATTTCTCTCTGACAATTACTCACAGGTCCTTCATTTGTAAGTCCTTTCAGTAGATTATTTAATATTGACCGACATTGTGTATATTTGATCTGTTAATTAAAAGACTGGAAATACATGTGCAAGAAAGATTAGAAATGGGCTTATCTGTGCACAGTTTTGTTTCCTTAAAGTATCTTGGTTTGGTATAGAACAAATAAAAAAGGCTTTTCCAAAAGCCCATGAAAAGCTTGAGCATAATTCATCAATTATTGTCAATACCAATTCCATTTTCTTTGAGGATGCTTGCTGTAGACCCCAAAGTTCATTGACTGTCTGAGTATGTTGTCCTGTGGCAAGCTTTATGACCTGTGCATGAGATATCTCATGCCATGTTCACATTGGACGTTTTCTTCTGTGCCTTCGTGGAAACTCTCTATGACTTCCAGCAGTGTTAATCCCCTGCCAATTCCCTCTCAGATTCTTTTTTTTTATACTGGGAGATTTTGTTTCTGTTCATGATGAGCCCAATGTGACACATTGGAGATGCTTGAAGCACTGGTAGTTTCTATTTGCTAACAGTAGTTAGTTACTGTCCATTATTAAATTGATTGGTTTTGTGACCTAATGACAACAGAAGTCAACAAGAATAATTTCCTTCCATTCTCCTCCACCCTCCAGCAGTTTGACCTGCACTAAACCCAACAGCAATGCTCACAAGTTTTATTAAATCTGCCAGATATCATCAATGCAAACTGGGTTATGAACATTACTTAACGTGGGTTTGCAGTTCTACTTAAAGTGCAGCCGCATTGGATCACTCTGAGACACAATTTTTCTGCATTTTTGTACTTTTCAGTATGTGAAAACTCTTTTACATTGCTATTTGGTTAAAAGCAGTGAAAAGTGTACTTTTAAAACTGTTAAAACACCCATGCTTTCCTAGACAACTGAATATGCCTGTGCTTACACACAGCAAGAAATCAGCAAAATAATTCAATGTAGTCCGGCAAATCTACAAAAATGCAGCTCTTTTTGTGTGTGCAAGCCAATGTAACATTGAGACTTTCTTCCTGGGATGATATCACAGTTTTGCTCATGAATATGGAAATACTTGGCATGAAAACCAAGAATGCAGTAAAATCCCTTTTTGAAATAGTGAAACAAAAATTCAAAATAACGTTAAGTTAGACACAAAGGTTTATTTTAAAATATTAAAGGTTTGTATTAAAACATTGGTTGCAGGTACCCTTTAAACACAAACAAAGGGGTCTGGGAACCATTCTTCACATGTCTGCTATACTGTAATGCATTATGTAGTGCACACATGGACGTTTTACAGCACCCAGCTGTTCCCACTAGACTAGTTCTGTCCCTGTAAAACTACTATGGTTCCATGGAAATCTCCACTGACCACATTCAACATCTCAGGTTACCCGATTGCAGTGTAAATTGAACAGGTATGTTAATTTTTAATTCTCCAGCCACTCCAAATAGACTTAATTTTTTATCTTCAGGCAAACTTGAATTCTCAATTCCATGGCAACAAACAGTGTGACGTATAACTAACCATGTTGCTTGGTCCATGTCAAACCCTGCCTAATATGCTATTGTGCATGTAACTCAACGCAATGCGGTATTTTTACGCTGAAAACAAAGCATAAATGCAAAATTTACTGTAAATTGGAAGGTGGCACGCTTGCGCGCTGTCCCTATAGCATCGTACTGTGTGTCCATGTCCCATATACCACAAGGCGGAAGGCACTACAGGCACACTACATTATTCTGTTTTCCACTCGCACTCCTCAGATAACTAATAGTAGCTCTGTAGCTCAGCCATGGTAGTTTACTCCCCACAAAGTCCAATGAGAGCATAGCTTAAGGCTGAGTCCTTGGCCCTGGAACCACTTTCGCTAATAGTTGTCTTGGTTTTTGCATCCTCTCAGACCAAAGAGATCCCCCTTGCTGTCCTTTGAAATTGTGACCAGATTGAAAAAATTAAATTAACTTGCACAGCTGTTTTTGGACCCAGTGCTTGTCTCAACCATCTCAGATGAAATTCACATTTGGTTGTATGACAGCATGAACTTACATGTACATATCGTATTACCATGTTAAGAAAGAGAAAGCTGTCCCAACTGTGAGAAGATGTCTGTATTAATGTTTTCAAGTTACATGGAAATGGCAGTCCTTTCCTGGCAACTCATCGTGTGAATGAGGAGGTTCATGTGCATTAAATACTGCAAATTTTGGGGTGGAGCGTGCTGAGTACACACAACCAATTTCTGTTGGACTGTACAGTATGTTCTTCGCGCATGCACTGGAGACGTACATTTATAAGCTCAGTTAGAAAAGTTGCCACCAGTGTGTCCCTTCTTTGGTAGGGAGGGTGCACTTTGACTAAAGTTGGATTAAAATACACATTTCTTGTTACTCTGTTGTCAACTATGGGACTCACAGTATCAGTAAAGTCCCATTTTACAGGTGTTTCCCACTGGCATTATTTTCAAAATCCTTCCCACCGTTAGTGGTTGCAGTTGAATAGTTAATATGCCTTTAAGTTATGTTTTTTTTTTCATCTTTTTTATGAAGACAGGGTGGCATGTCATTTGATCTGTGTTTTCCTGATGTGATGACCTTTTTCAGAATTGCAAAATCAATATTGTTTTGCTTTTGCATCCATACACTTACATGAAGTTCAATTTTTAATCCTGCATATGTGAAGGCCAGCTGTCTTTTATGGACTTGCCACTGCTAG